TTATTTTCAACTTTATTCAATAAAAAAATATTTATTTTTAATCTTATTTCTTTACTTATAAGTAAAATTTAAAGCTCATTCAAACATGCTCACTTAAATTCTCCTTGTGATTTCTGCTTCAGAGTATAATCATGTTCAAATCTTCATGCAACTTCATCTATTTTAATATCACTGTCTTATTTTCAATTTTCATGTGGTTCGTGGCTATTCTCTTTAGATCTTATGTAGAGAAGCAAATTATCCATAGAGATTTGAAGTCCTCCAATGTTCTTTTGACTGAAAGCATGAGAGTCAAAGTTGCAGATTTTGCGTTTACGAGGATAGGGGAGATGGACTCTGAGAAAACATATGTTTCAACCCAAGCAAATGGCAGAGTTGGTTACCTTGATCCAGAGTATATGAAGACATATCAACTTACATCCAAGAGCGATGTATTCTCATTTGGGGTACTGTTAATAAAAATTTTAACTGGTCGTCAACCTTTGGATTTGAAGAGACCACTCGATGACAAGGTGACAATTAAATGGGTAATCTTTTCTCTCTTTATACTTGACAATGTTATTCGCATTAGTCATTATGTAAAACCCGTGTTACGTGGAGAATGTGATTCAATAAGACTTCATAATGTTTATGTTTTGATACTTAACTTCATTATCGGTATGGATGTTTCTTGTATGCAAACAATTTCTTCTTGTCATTTGAGAAAGCAGAAAGAGAGGAACAACCGAAGAGAAATAAGCACAGATCATATTTGTAAGAGAGTATATTACAAGGGGTTTGGCTATAAATGCAATTTTAATATGTAGTTAATGAACTAACAGCCTACCCTCTCAGGGATTCATCGTTGCAAAGTCATGCTGTATGATTTATTATTGTTTGAGCTGTAATCTTTTTAAGCTTCATTTTTTGAAATTTTAATCTTTTCATAAGGTTACTTTCTCAGAAAAGTTCGTACAAACCCACCCCGCCTGGCCGTTTTCACATTTTCATGAAGACCTCAAGTATTTTCCCATCTTTAATGTACTAATTACATCATAACCAATCCAGTCCCCCCAAAAGGAAAACATGTCCAATGTGCATCCATGTTCCTTAGTTCCCTCGAACTAAGTCTTTGAAAACCATCTACTGTGGAATGAATGGCTGGTTTCAGATCTAATTTTTGAATAAAGAAAAGATCTGTGGAACTCATCATACACACTGTTTATATAGGCTTTCAGGAAGTATAATGAAGGAAAACTATTGGAAATGTTAGACCCTATGATGAAGGATGTTGTAGATGAAGAAATACTAGCGAAAATGTTTGGTTTCGCCATCCAACACGAACTAATCATCCAGACATGAAATCATTGCGGAGCAGCTCCGGGGAATTAGAATGGACTACTTGAGAAGCGGAAAGAGAGATTAACGGGTGAGCACTGAAAACAAAGTTTATATGGTGTTGCTATGGTTTTCTATTCAATCATTATTCTTAATGAACAAAGGACAAATGAGTCAACACGTCTTTCTTGATGGATACTAGCCTGTGCTAACCATATGAATTGAAGAATTTAAGTCATTTGTAATTGCATGCTTCTTGTCATCTTCTTTCACTTCCCTTAAACATTTTTTAGGTTACTTCTCTAATTTGTGGATATGGGTGGGAGCGCCAACTTTGCGTTTTCATGCAATTCTTGCAGTATGCAGTATGTCATACCACATAAGAATGATTGAACTACTGAATTATGTTAGTGACTCATTTGGATCTCTTTTGAGTGAATGATATGCTAATTGATAATGGAACGTCTAGGAGAATAAGAAGTAAAGGTCCTTAAAACCCATGTATCCAAGTAGGCACGTAAGATCTCTTGTTTTTGCTTTATATTACTATCACTAATGTAAGTACTTGTAAACACATTTCATATAATCCAATGTAATCATCCTTCAAACAGGTTTCATTGTTCAATGAAATACCACATAACCAAATGCCAACATTATTACTTACACTGCATAGCCCACTACACATGCAACGCACGTCCATCCTTTAGTAATATACTATAAACGTCAAGACTATAAACTAATAAAACTAAAGAACATGTTATTAAATTTCAAATATTAATGAATTTTTAGTTAGCGTGATTAAATTATTTAAAAAAAATTACTATGATGACTCGATAATTACTTGTCAATCATATTTGTAAAAAATTGCATTTACAATTTTTTTAAAAAAGTTTTATAAAACTATTTATCATTGTATTTTTAAAATAAAGTGATCTCACTGAACCCTTGTTTGACCCCAATTTTTTAGTATACATTTTTTGTTTCAAACTCATTTTTAACCATATATTTTATAAAATTCACAACTTTTATCAACTTTTTAATCATACATTTTATCAACTTTTAATAAAATCTATTAAAAATCTTATTTTTAGCGAAGCTAAATAGGGGCTACATCAAAAGTATAAAAAGAATATCTTAATAAAAAATAAAGAAAAAGATAATTTGACTATAATAATATAAAATTTTAATAGTATTGTTTCGCGCAAGTTATCGCTAACAATTCAAAAAGAGATCAGACAATTGTGTAAGGAACAAATATCTTGAAACAAAGTCCTAAAATGGGTGTTTTATTGATGAAGAGTACAATTGGAAATAAATAGAATGCCTCCAAGGGGCGCAAGCACACGAGTACTAAAAGAAGTGTTTTAAAGTTAAATTAAGAAATTGAAATTACATATTCTCTGTTGAGAGTGTTTGATTCGGGGTCTTTTCTTCTATGTCTTCTTTTCCTTTTTATACTACCTTGATAGTTTCTTTGTGAAAAAACTGCTTGGAAACTGTTTGATACTCTATAACTACCCACTTTCTTCATGATGGCTGACTTGTCATGGAACTGCCGTCTCTAACGTTGTCATTACTCTTGTCGTTTAACTGCCTACAACCGGGATTCTTGGACCGTGGGGTGTGATAAAGTTACTCAATAACCGCTTCAATAACTGCTGTATTAGATAACCATAACACCTTAGATTCATTCAATTCCTGGGCGACTCGAGGGTTTGGGTGAGAATGGGATCATCGCTTTGAGCGACCGTAAGGCACTCCATTCGCTTAGATTCTGGGCGTCTTGCAAGATTGGGGGACGATGTTACTTTGTTCGTGGGCCTCCACTACATTCACTAATGGTCCTATTTGGGCCTTCGTCCTAGATTTCTCAATTAGGCTTCATTCATTGGACTATTCAATTTGGGCTACACTTTTTTTTTGTCAACAATTACCCCTCAATATGGCATAATTAATATCAATTATTAATCTTTGCCATATTCTTCATTTATATTTTCCGGCAGTATTTGAAATTCTCAGGAATTTCAATCATTATTTCCTTCTATAGTCTGAAAAGATGCAACGTTACAAACCCCTATAAACTTAAAAGACACGCCACTTCATCGCGCAATTACCTTCACGTATTTACATCGTCCAGTCTATAAAGGTCAATATTCATTGTCTTGCTTCCTCACTATGCTTCTCAAGATACCTTCAAAGCATCTGTACTTTGCATCAAATGGCGAC